CATTGTTATCGGTGGGGCGGTCAGCTTGAGTGTTGTTACGCCCGAGAGGGTGAGGGCGTTGCAGGAGAATGGGAGGGTGTTTTGAGGCGGTCGTATTTGTTGATGCGGAATGGTACTTAGAAGATAAGAAGCGGAGTGTATTGCGCGTTAGAGATTCAAAAGGATCCAATCGGTAAACTTCATGCAACGTGTGCAGTACATGCTCTTCGACACTGCGCAGTGCAGGTACTCGTGTGACTCGCATGTTAGCACATTGTACAAAAAGATGTTAGTCGTTTTGGTGTCGCGTGATAGTCGTACGCCCAAGAGTACTTTCCAGTACTGGTTCCTGGTGTGATGGTAGTCGAAGCGATTAGTGTATGCATTCGAGTGAGCCAATGATCTCTGCCGTGAGACATTGCAGGTAGCTCAGGCCGCTCTTGCTGCCAGTAGAGGATGGAGTCAAGGAATCCCGATGACTGATCATCTACTTGGCGTTACGTGGGAATTAAGAATTGTCATTAGGCGTGCCATGTGCTGCAACACACGTATACGAATATCCGGCGCTGATGGTGGAGATTGTCGAGTTTGAGAACGGATGGGGAAGCGACAGGCGGCGGGGTCAGACGGGGCGGGATTCAGCCGTAGCTACTACCTCAGCGTTGGGAAGGTGCGAACCTTTCTGTTACCTCACCGTGGCCTTGGCTAGACTCAGCGCTCTGACATGCGCGTGGTACCGAGCACATGGAGAGTAGAAGCGTAGTCGATAAACGGACCATGCACTATTCCTCGTGTACTCCTAGTAGGCTTTAGCCGTTTTGCATCAAGGCAGCCCTGAAGTCGGTATACGGTGCTGACTATGTCTCGGCTAAGCCTGCCTTTTGATAGATGTAGAGAGCCCTGGCGATAGCATGCGATTGCTGCATGTTCATGATGGAAAGGTCTGCAAAATCAATAAGCTCAGCGTCGCGTCATAGAAGCGACGGCAAAAAGCTTGGGATCGACTGCCAACACCGCAGACGCTTATCCGTGGTTCTGGCGTGGCGAGGCGTTTCAATAAAGCCGGAACCGTAACGGTAGAGTACCTGCTCACGTGCGGCATCGCGCTTGCCGGCCGAGGTCTTCATCAAGCTTAATTTAGGCGACGTGTCGATCTTGAGTTCCCCCAATCCCCGTCTTTTACCCTATCAACCTCACCGTCGACACGCTCTATTTGCGAAAAAGGACCGCACATCTGACCAGGTCCATCGAGGATAGGCGCGACACCACTCCAATGCGCCGTATGATTACCGCACACCATTGCGCCCGTATCTCAAAGGGTGGCGTGAATAAGCCCTTGCATACCGCGTCTGGGCAGGAAGCCTCAACCGCTGCCACGGCGTCTTCATATCCGCTGGCCGAGGCTTGTCTCGTCGCTCGAAATTCTTGATGCCGGTACCCGGAGTCGTGGTGTCGCATGTCGCATGTCCGTCCCCTGAGCGTGCAATTACCGTGGCCGCAAATACGATCGGGGTCCGTTGCCCAGGTCTTGGGCAACGCAGAGAACATTCGGGAGACCCGCCTCGACGATAGCCCTGGCAGGATGGCCCTCGGAGGAGCGAATGGTAGCGTTCGGAGGAAGTCTTGGCTGTATGGCGCGATTGGCTAAGCCGTTGTCCGTATCCCAAGCTTCGAGCCATTATCTTGTCTATCTGCAGGCGGCCCCACAGCGTGGTTGTTGGTGGGAACGTCTGGCCTGCATCCCGCCAGCCTCCTCGATGTCTTGTCCGAATCAATCGCTGCGGTCGTCTTCCAGAACGTCTGTATCGACGCTATACCAACGCTATCACCCGCAGATAACCGCGTTTGCGGTCAGAAAGAGCAAGGTCGCTGATACCGCGATTGAAGGATGCATGGGCCATGGGCTGGGCCACCAAGACCAGAGTCGTTGGAGGCGCGAGCTAGTGGCTCTGGGCATTTCTTGGGGACGACTATCGCTACCCCGCGACCACCTGCTTTAGGCAGGAGGTTAGTGGATGGCATGCGACTGGGGCGCCACAGGTAATTGTTATCTTGGAACCAGCAAGCTCTTCTTGTCTCGCTGCTTGCCAGTGGTGGTTAGCAACTTGGCGAGGCTTGAGTAGCCCAGGACGCCTCGGCGATGCGGTGCGAAAAGAGCATCGTGCAGCACCTATCGCGCACGCGCCGAATGCCTTTCCGGGCACAACAGCCGCGGTGGCAATGCGTTTGCTGATGGACAGACAGTCGTGAAGGAGTCGATACGGTGCCTATCCCTGTGTCGGTGTGCGCGCCTTCCTTATCGGGCCTGAAGCTGTAGAGCACGACGTCGGACCCGTGATTCGCGTGCTCAAATTAAATGCACCACCACCCCATTCTCTTTGCTCGTCAGGGTCTCTCTTCTCCTCGCCGCACCCCATAAACAATCACCTGGCTGCTTTCCCAGTCACTCAACCACGGTCCACCTTCATTGTCAAACGACCTAGGTGCACGCCCATTATGCCTGTTGGTGACGCCGGCGAAGTCGTGAGTATACTCTTCTCAAGCTCCATTGCATACTTGCTAACAACCCTTGCAGCAAGCTGTCGGCTTGGACCCCGCTCTTATTGACGCTTCTGGCGACCCCACGCGCAAGCACCCCGAAATGCACACAACCTCTGCGCCCGCCTACCTCCACTCCGAGGGCAAGGCCACGCTCCAGGACAGCTACCTCAACGAGGCTGATGACTTTCCCACTGACGAGGAGCTCGCCACGCTTCGTCGTGTGCCCGCTAGAATTCCGTGGAAGATCTTCACCGTATGTGATCGCACTCACAGAGCACGTGAGACAAATACTGACTTATCTCCAGATCGCTTTCGTTGAGCTTGTCGAGCGTATGAGTTACTACGGAACCGTTGCTGTATACTCCAACTACATCGCTAAGCCGCTCACTACGCCCACTGGAGCCGCGCTCAACCCAGATGATGCTGAGGCTCAACCCGGTGCCCTCAACATGGGCAAGCAGGTCGCTTTCAGTTTGACTACATTCAACGCCTTCTGGGTCTACGTCTGCCCGCTCCTCGGAGCCTGGATCGCCGACACCTACCTTGGTCGTTTCAAGACTATTCTGTACTCCGTCTTGGTCGCTGAAATCGGTCACTTGATCCTCGTCGCCTCAGCTGCGCCGTCTGTCTTGGAGAACTCCAACACTGCCCTCGGCGTTTTTATCCTAGGTCTCATCATCATGGGTCTTGGAACTGGAACTTTCAAGCCCAACATTGCCCCTCTTATCGCCGAACAAGTTCCTCAGGAGAAGATGCGCGTTGAGACACGCGGTACTGAGCGCGTCATTGTCGACCCCGCTGTCACGGTCACCCGTATCTACAACTGGTTCTACTTCTTCATCAACATCGGTGCTCTGGTCGGTCAAATCAGCATGGTTTACGCTGAGCGATACGTCGGTTTCTGGCTCGCGTACCTGATCCCCACCGTCATGTTCATCATCGCTCTCCCCGTCTTGATCTTCTGCAAGAAGTTCTACATTCTCCGTCCCCCGAGCGGCAACGTTATGGGCCCTGCTTTCAAGCTTCTCTTCAAAGCTCTTGGACGCGGAATGAGCATCAACCCCGTCAAGACCTGGAAAAACTGGAACGACGGCAACATGTGGACCGCTGTCAAGCCTTCCGTCCTTGGCTCCGCCGCACCCAAGTGGTACAACTTTGATGACGCCTGGGTTGATGAGGTTGCTCGTGGTTTCGCTGCCTGCTCCGTCTTCTTCTGGGTGCCTATCTTCTGGCTTGCATACCGCCAGATGGACTCCAACCTGACCCAGATGTGCGCCACCATGAAGCTCGGCGGCGTCCCCAACGACATTCTCTCCAACCTGGACCCCATCGCTATCATCATCATCGTAAGTACTGTCAGATGGTCCAACGTCCAGAACGAATGCTAATCGTGCTATAGGTGCCCATCATGGACTCTCTCATCTACCCCTTCCTCCGCAAGCGAGGTATCCGCTTCACTCCCATCAAGAAGATCACCGCTGGTTTCATCCTCGGAGCCTTCGCCATGGTCTGGGCTGCGGTTCTCCAACACTACATCTACAAGACCTCCGGCTACTACGAGAACAAAAACGCAGACTACAAGACCGACATCACTGTCTGGGCTGTTACCGGTGTCTACGTCCTCATTGCCATCTCCGAGATCTTCGCCTCCGTCACCACTCTTGAGTACGCCTTCACCAAGGCTCCCAAGAACATGAGGTCGCTCGTTCAGTCCGTCCAGCTCTTCACCACCGCCTTCTCTGCCGCCCTCGCCCAGGCTTTCACTCCTCTTACCGCCGATCCCCACATCGTCTGGAACTACGGAAGTGTAGCCATCATCTCCTTCGTCACCGGTATCGCCTTCCACTTCGCCTACCGTAACATGGACAAGAACGAAGACCAGCTCAACCTGCTGCCCACCGGTCACCTCGGCACGGAGGCTCAGGCTGCTGACATCGAGAGGCGCCAGAGCGTCAACGAGGAGAGGCGCGCTAGCCTTGTCGCTCAGGAGAAGATGTAAGCGGTTTACATCGCGATGTGTTGATGCATGATGTTGTGATTCGCTTATCGAATCACCGTTCAACGATATACCCCCCAAACCTATTGGTTACCGCGCTTAGGAGGCTAGTTATGTGTTATGTGCCGCTCGCCGGATGCGTCGGTCTCTGGTCATGGCTAGTTTACTTACTTTAATGCCAAACATTCACTTCAAATCAAGAGTCTCATGCAATTGCGGTGATGCAAAGAAAAGATTACAGTCCACATGGATCGAGTGTTCTCTCTGCGGTGGTGATCAAGCTGTGCTTACGACTATCGGCCCGAGTGCTCAAGGAAACCGCGCTAATGTCTCACGCTAAAGCCAGGGTCTCGCGATCGAGCATGTTCATGGAAGGATGGAACTTTCTCGCATGCTTGAGCGTCGCAATACCAAGTCTCATCACATCGTTATATACGCACTATATACAACGACTCTGCCTCAACAGCTGGTTGCGTGATTCAAGATGGCGACAGGTCTATCGCAAGCCACACGTGACGAAGCTGCCATGCTTTCAGAGACGTAAGACCTCTCGGTTTTAATTACTGTAGCATCTGCACTAACGCTGCCAGCTTTCCTTTGTGCGACCTTCCGCAAGAGCTTCGTGATAAGATATACGAGTACTCTTTCGAGCCCAAAGCAATCTTCCGCCATGTCCCATTCGAGACTAAACTAGAGGGCTACGAGCGACCTACAGTGGATTTGCCACCCAGTATGTATACTTCCAATGTAACTGTACCAGTATTGACCCTTGCATAGATGAGAAAGACGAAAAGATCGGAATACTAGTCTTCAAAATCCTGATCGCAACGCCTTTGCTCGCTGTATCCAAACTCACAAACCAGGAAGTGAAAAGAGTCATTGAAATCGAGAAGAAAACCTGGGTCCGGACCATCCGAGAGTCTATCCATCATCTACACCGCATCAAATCCCCTAGCTCGGCCTTCCTCGATCTCTGGTCCCGCAGTGAACTAGTCCTCGGTCATTACCCCAGTGAATCTCTCTTCTTCTTGGGGTATCTTCCAGATTCGCTCAAGGAGTCACTTCGTCGGCTCAGCCTCACCTTGTCTGTTACACTTACCGATCCCGGCTCGCTTACTTCCACAATATGGCAGCCGAATAATCGTGAAGAGGGTGCCATGTTTACCAATGATATACGGGATGACTTCCCGAACGTACGTGAGATGGCGATCGAGATAATGCCGACTGACCACGAGTCGTGGCGTGTCAGCAGCAGGACTCCCCCCTCGGAATATGTACTCGATATGGTTTGGGAGGGCCGCTTGGATACTGTGTGGTTCTATTACGGAGGTGACCGTAAGTCAGTACAGACGGACGAACTCTTCTTGTCGAACGTGGTGATGGACGGGAACAAACCTGATGACCGCAGTGAGGGAGACTTTTATTTTAAGGGGGTGGAAGAGACCATCTCTCATACGTCGGTTCGATCCGCGGTATGGCGAGAACTACATGCTTATCGCGTTGTGAAGATCACAAGAGAGCTGAAGGCTTCGACATGTGACAATAGATTGGCGCAAACCTCGCAAGCGAAGGCCTTACACGAACGCATACTCGAATGAAAACGCAGAGGCGGGAGAGTATCGAATTGGTAGAAGGCGAAGGGGACGTCGCGGAGACACAGGCGAAGGTAATGGCGATGGCGACTATGATTTGATACTAAGGTGAGTAAAACTGCCTCTGCGTATGACGGAACGATCCCCAGTATGGCGAGAATGGGGTTATCTATATGGCTGTCCCGTGGTGAAGATCACAAGGGAGCTGGTACCCGTGAAGCAAGATATCGTAGTAGTAGAGGAACAGAAACATGCAGACACTTAGAGACGCGAAGTCTGCGCAATATCCAAGTTGTACAAAGTTGTTGCGACACCTGATGAAGTCAACCGTAAGATGACGTTCTAATGATGTGTACTGGACTTGCGCTGAGTTGTCGCATGCTGTCCGAGCGTCCAGAAAACACGCGTCCTAGCGTGTCGCGCTAAAATGCCCGCCCCCTCACTGGCACCCTCGGGAATCCCTCCTCCATCCGCACAGCACCAGCCATCGTCGTCTGATCGATACAGAACAGCTTTGACAGCGATTGCAATTTCCACAATGTCGCCTAGCGAATTGCCAACTGCTCGCAGTACAGATGCCGCACATCTGGAAGTGTACGCACTTTCGATGCTCGGTTCCTCCCTTGCTGAAGCTAACGGCGCTTAGCTTCCGGATACAAGACCTCCCACTGGAGCTTCGCAATCGTATTTACGAGTATACCTTAGAGCCGAGAGTCATCTTCTGGCACACAAATCTAAAAGACAAAGCACCAGCATATTGTGTTCCCAATCTTGATTTTCATCCAGGTATGAACAGTGCCAAGTGGGCGTTCCTTGTGCTGACACGATCACAGAAGATATCAAGGATGATGACGATCGATCCGAAAGCTCTGAAGAGTACATCGAAGAAGACGAGTTTTCGAGAGATCCCAATCTTCAAAAAAGGGATTCGCCGCGTCTTTTCGCTGTCTTGACTTCCAAGGTCTCAATAGTGACGCCGTTACTCGCCGTGTCGAAGAATACGAACGTAGAAGTGATGAAGGTGTTGGCTACCACCAGGACGCCTTTGTTACAATACTATGAGAGACTCTTGTCGTCATCCATACATTTACATCGGATCAGATCACCAAGTGCAGCTCTCATTGATCTATGGTCGAGCAGCGAGCTCATCCTTCAGAACTATAGCGGCGGTTCCCTGTACTTCCTGAAGAATCTTCCAGACTCGCTGAAGTCTTGTGTTCGTCGTCTGGTTATCACTGGGCACCTTCTAGCCGCTGATGATGGTCCTACTTGCACGATGTGGATCAAAGATGAATCTAGAGGCGGGACATTATTCACGAATTGGATATCAGACAATCTTCCTAATTTACGGACAGTGGCGATTGAAATACCAGGCACATTCGAAGGGATGGAATGGAATTGGAATCCGGCTTCGGACTATCTGTGCGAGATGCTGCAGGATGGACGTTTGGACACCGTAAGATTCTTTTACAAAGACTACAGCAACAACTCCAAGTATAGACACAAGGAGACAGATTTCAGCTTTTTCCGTCGTGTAACACTGGAGGGGTCCACCGATGAAGGAGGTCGCTGGATGGAAAAGTTCGATCGGTTACTGTTGACTGGGGTTGAAGAACCGATATCCCCTACCTCACTGGCATCACAGGTATGGCGCGACTTAGGGGCATGCCGCGTCGTCAAGATCACGAGATCACAGGCAACAGGCTAGTACAGCGGCTGCGATATATCTTATCAAGGCTCCCGATCGTCTTATTGGTCAGCACACAGTCCAGGCGTTGGTCGTGGTCTCGACGAATTCAGGCGTATACTGGATCCCCGTAGTAGTAAAGAAACAAAAGCATGCAGAGATTCAAAGTTCTAAAGTACGCGCAATTCTTGGAGCTGTGTGACCGTGTATGCTACTCGTGAAAAGACTCGCAAGGCTCGAGTGATGGGACAAGAAGAGGTCCGAGCGTCCGCGAGACGCGTCTCAGCGCGTCGCGCTAGTGCCATCCCCTCTTTCCGCGAGGGCTCCTCTTCCGTTGTGTTCGCAAGCGCAATACCGAAGCCCGGTTTTACACACACCAACAACAATGCGTGAAGAGACAGCGGAAGCATCGCGGTCTGGGCATGGTGATGCCGCCGCACATCTAGACGTGTGAGGACTCTGCGCCGTACGCATCGCGATTCTAAAGCTAACAATGTGCAGGTTCCGTCTGCATGACCTACCGCAAGAACTTCGCGATATGATCTATGATTATTCACTTGAGCCAAGAGCGATCTTTCGTCATACGAACCGCGAAGAGCAATGGGAACAAAACCAGGGTTATAACCTGCCGGATACGGATTCTAGCAAAGGTACGCAGGCTCGGGTGTAACTCACGTCAGGACTGACTCTCCCACAGAAGATTGGCTGATGATTCTCGATATGATGTACACACCGGAAGTGGCTGATGAGGATCAGCCAGTTCCTGACGAGCTTTACGAGGTGTTTTGGCATGATCCTAATGGGCCCTCAGGCGTTTTCTCTGACCGCCAAGATGTGATGCTCACGTACAAGATCTTCATGTCGACGCCACTACTTCTTGTTTCCAAGGAAGTGGCTAGAGAGGCGGAGAGGGTACTGCAGGCCAATAAACGAGGATGGATCAATTACTACAACGAAGTCGCGCGATCCAACATACACTGCCATCGCATCATTAAACCCACCAAGGCTTTCCAGTACCTTTGGTCTCGCAGTCAGGTCGTTCTGGAGAACACTACCGCGGACACCATGTTCTTCCTGCAGATCCTACCGGAGGTCTTGAAGAAAAGCCTTCATAGTTTGATTATCACGAAAAGCTTGATGAATATCGAAGATGAGTTTTCGATAGTACTCTGGCAAACCGACGACGAAAAGGGCGGATCTTTCATGTCAAATTTGATCAAAGAACACTATCCCAACCTGCGAACAGTAGCTCTTGAGACACCCAGCACGGAAGAAGAGACGAGGAGCAATCTCAACAACGGTTTCAGGAGCTTATGCGATATGCTCAAGATGAAAGATCTAGATACCCTCAGGTACTTCTTCAGAGAGGCTTGCTTTTCTCAATCCGACAACTGGTTTCTCGCAGACGTGGATCTAGAAGGGGTAGAGTTTAGCGATGACACCGACGACTACGAGGTGGGAGAAGACGAAATCTCGGAGCGCTACAAACAACCCCTGGATGGCGTCGAGGAAATTATTTCACCTACTTCAATCGGGTCTGCAGTATGGCGCGATCTCGGAATGGAGCGCGTCGTCAAGATCACGAGGTCGCAGACAGCAGCCTAGCGCTATGGCTGCGACGTGTTCTGATATATGTTTTGAATCAGACCTAGGTTGCAGTAATCCATCGCATCGCTCCATCCTCCAGTCATTCCCATTGCAACAGTTAGTCAGGGGTGTGCCTATTGGCTGTGCCACGCTGCTCACCTCGCTCGGCGCCCACTCATTACTAGCCAAACAAATGTGTAAGAAATGTTTGGAAATATTGTCGCAACGTCGCGGTACTGCTTACAAGTATAGATGCCTTATTGGTGGTATACGTTGCGAAAACCGTGGTCAAAGTGTGCAACCATGGTACCGAAAGTCTGCCGCCTTCAGGCATCAAGATCACGTTTATGGTCCCAGTACATATATCTTGCGCTTGTTCTCCCACTCCCATCTCATCTCTACAATTAACTTCCTGTTTCCAATCATACTCTACAATTAAACTATCGCAGCAACCACCGAAACTCAGACATCATGACTCTTACCATGATTCAAACCTCAACCGAGTTCGAAGCGGATCAGCTCTACAACGCCATTCACTACTCAGATTTCGCCTATGACTACACAACGGCGGTTTCAGCCTATTTGAAAGACTTTCCTGCTCTTCCCTCCGTTCCGACTACCGAATACTCCTACGCACCAACCTCAATACCTACTTGGTGGTCAGATTTCACGCACAATACGCTTTTGTCAGACATGTCTCACCCAGTCTCACCAAGAGAGTTGAAATCTCTCATCGAAGCCGAATTACATCAAGGTCTCACGCAGTCAGCTATCCTCCAGCATTGGATGAAGAGGTCGGGGAGCGAAATCCCGCTTGGCAGTGCCGCTGCAGCCGCAGCACTCCAAGACGCTATTATCGTGGCCTCTGATGCCGAGTGGTACGAGCACGATGACCATTTCATCACGGAACTCGGAATATCTGTTCTCGATCCGCGTTCCGTGCCACAACCATTTTCCTCATCACCATGGAGTATTCTCCCCAGCATGGAGAACTACCACGTGCGCATCAAACCACACGCACATCTCACCAACAAAGACCTCTGCGAAGGGCATCCAGATGCCTTTCAATTCGGCAGCACGACCTTTGTCAGCGTGAAGGAAGCGAAAGAAATGCTGCGCAGCGTTTTCACCCGCCGAGACATATACGGCAACCTACGACCAATAATTTTCGTAGGCCATGCCGTCTCAAACGACTACGAAGTCATAAAATCGCGCTTTGGTCTTGACCTTGAAGAACTCGGCACCATCGTCGCAACAATCGACACACAAGTGCTGGCCGTAGAACACGGCCTCGTAAACCCATCCCGCAAAATCCGCCTTGCGCACCTCCTCGCCGAATACGACATCAAAGAACCATACCTTCACAACGCCGGCAATGACATCGTATGCACCATGATCGCCGCTTTCCTCATGCTTTGTCCTCCACCCGAAGCCCCGCTCAATAAGTTGCATTACGTAGACCTCAAAGCGCAACTCCACAACGCGGGTCAAACCGCCATCAAAGAAGGCCGCGGCTATGGCGTCACACGTTTCTGCGAGAAATGTGATTCCCATCACCACACCGCACCGTACTGCCGCGTCAGCGTTTGGCACTGTGAACACTGCGACAAAGATCCCTTGACACGACACTTGGCGTATACTCATAATTCGCAGAAATGCATTCATGTGGTCAAGCAGGCTGCGCTGATCAAGAAACAGGGTAGCATGGGCTATGGACAGGGGGGATCAAAGCGCTCGAGTAGTCCTAATGCGGTGCCGTGTGAGTTTTGTATTGAGAGTACAGATCCGAGACGGTATTGTAATGAGAATGCTTATGGGCATAAAACGGGGGATTGTGCGTGGCGGAGATAGAAAATATGAGAAAATCAGATTAAAATATTTTTAGCACGTGTGTTCTGGTTGCATACGTATGATGATGTGATATTTGTAGGGTGTTCAATCTTGGAGTGTATCCGCCTAGGTGATTGCAGGGTTTCTGTTGCGTATTGTTTCTACGCTTTGAGGAAGGTGCGAATAGCATCGATGGGTGCATAGATTTCCGTCGATGCGCGTGCACTGTTCGTGAAGACATCAGGTCGATCGAAAATAGCTGTGCGACCTAATTCGCCAGGTCGTCCTCTCGCTGCGAGACATGTCTTGTTGGGTGGGAAGATGCAGCGTGCCTGCCTTGCAAGGTTAGCGATGTCGTACAGCGTTGAAGCGGCGTTGTGAGAAGCAAACGAGCATCCCGTCGTCGCTGCCTACGCGCTTTCTTCATAACTGGCATGTACACTCTAGATGTGACACCTTTCATCCTGACCGCTTCTGTTTTCTCCACATCACGATCTCACCCCCGTGTCCTTTGGGCCTGGACGCGCACTTTACACGCTTGTCTCACCGTTCGCGAACATGCCTTCCCTCACATTCCACGACATGCCCACCGAGCTCGTCGAGACCATCGCAGCGTACGTGAGCGACGCCGACCTCCTGTCTTTCCGCTTGACGTGTAGACATGCAGACACGAAGACATTACGCGTAGTCGGCGAGCGCCCTTTCTCCATATTGCAGACCAACCTCAAGAAATCGGATATCAGAAGACTCGAAAGTATCTCTCGAGGTGGGCGACTAGCGAAATACGTCAAAACCATCCGAGTTCAGGACTACCAAGAGAAGCCTCGGGGTGGAGAAGAGCCAGAGCGACTAAAACCGACGCACCGCCTCTGGTCGCGCAAACAAGCGCGCGTCCTGTGGGTCGACAAGACCGTCATTGCCAAACTGCAGACTATACTCGGGGAACGTCATTTGTCTCTTGACACTCTCGCTATCCACAACTATTACATCAAAAATGCCATTGCACTCGCTCGAGAGATCATTCGAGGTGGGGGACTTGTCGCTACTTCACTGCGAGTCTCTCTTTTTGAGAAACATGCAGCATTTGGGACCATAGTGACCCTGACCCTCGATCGAGCTAGACGAGAAGAGGACGTAGGCTTCAGCCTGCTTCGACAGGTGGAACTGCAGCTACCGCCCCTTCACCCCGACGGTACACCATACTTCCTCCTTACCCAAATGTTCTATCACTGCGCAGACGTCTCGGACGATCTCAGGCTCAAGTACCGGGGACAGGCAGACGCACGGATTATCTGTATCTTGCAGCAAGAAACGCCTGTAATAAAGCTGGAGAACCTATACTTGGGCCACTCGGGCAATCCTGCGGGGCTCATCGAATGTATATTGTCGATCTCCGAAGATAGGCTGACAAGTATCGGCCTCAGAGACACCTCCAGGTCACGACTGGGATGTTTCTTGCGCACGAGTTTGGACAAGCCCACAATAGTAGACATCAATTGGATGTTACTTTAGTTTCTGGAGCGAGGAGGATGCAGCTACAGAAAGTCACGAAGCCGCAAGGGGAGAGCCGCCTGGAATTCGCATTTCGATCTCTCTGGTGACTATACGATAGGAGAATTGGATGATCTCATAGAGCTGCATATACACATTTAACGAGTGCTCGTGCGTATCTAGTCTCTTAACCGTGGCGCTGTAAACGAGGATGTACGCAATGTAATGATATGATAGCAAAAAGCGATCACGCAATCACAAAATTGAACATCAGCAAACTCGGGAGTGTTTGTCATGCTTCTAGAGGCCTTTGTCTCTTGCTAATGTCTATTTCACTCAACGCATCCCACCTAAACAGCCCCCATAACCCCCTCCATCCACGGATAAACCGTGCCATTCGCCTCCGGATACCCCATATGCAGCCTCCCCTGCATAAACCGCATCTCCTTCGGACTCCCATACTCCGCCAGCAACATACTATCCTCCACGGGCATACACCCATCCAACATGCCATTCACAAGCAACAACCTACAACTGCTCATCCCCTGCCCCACAACAGCCACACCCTCACCCTTCCCACTCACGAGCGAGAACTCGTCTTGGCACTTCTCTTTCATCTCGTCAAAGGACGAATAGCCGTATTTCTGGATATACGCTTCCTCGAGACCGAACGGGTATTCGTGTTTGGAGATTTGCGAGAGCCATTCTGAGCCGATGTAGTGGTGTGTTCCGGCGCCGTGGCCGACGCTGCCGAGGAGGCGGGAAGAGTGCGTGTGTGCGAGGCGGATGGCGTAGTAGCCGCCGGCTGAGAGACCCCACGCGATAACCTTTTTCTCATTAAGGTAATGTGTTTCTTTGATCCAGTCTAGGATGCTGGTGAAGAGGCGGTCCGGCGAGAGCGGGTCGCGCTTGTTGGCGGGACAGTCGACGGTCGTGCCGGGTATGTCGCAGATTACAGTTGCCCAGCCACGGTTCAGGTGCTCTTGGGTGCGCTCCGTGTTGTCGGGGCGGTGGCCGTCTAGGCCGGTGATGAGGAGGACAGTGGGGAAGGGGCCGGAGCCGGCGGGCTTGCGGATGTAGAGGGGTATCGAGGTGCCGTCGCCGTTGGAGGCTTGTTTGTGGGGTATTACGACTTCTTTCAGGGGAATGTCCCATAGTTGTGCGCCGCGGAAGTAGACTTCTTTTTGCTCTTCGAAGACCTTCTTCTTGAGCTCCGTGCCGATGTAGGGGAATCGAGCGAGTCTGTATACAGCGTTTGCATTTAGGTATAACTTCTTCGCTGCCTCTTTGTCCTTGCTTTCCATTTCTTTGGCTTCTTTCGCTAGGCGTTGCGCTGTTGGCAAGAATGCATTTGTGTATGCATCCTCGTAAGGGTCGTTGATGTTGTTGTCGATGAGATGCTTGAAGATGGGCTCGAAGTCTTCAAATTTGCCATCGTGGAATGGGTAAACGCCTTTGGTGCATGGGAACTTCCAACGTTGTTCCCAGAGCTTTTGAATGCTGCCGCGATGTCCGTATTCCTTGGTGAAGAGGTCTCCGAGGATCCAATTTCCGTTAGGCATAATGCAAGTCCTTTGATCGAAGGGATGTGCAAGAGTATAGTTTAGACAGACTGCCAGCTGTTTGCATGTCGCCGTTGCGCATACAAGCGTTGTATATACATGCGCCGTTTCGGGATCGGCGGGGCCGGCTCGCCAGTTGCTTCAGGCCCGTCCGGACGGACCCCCGCAAAATGAACTACGGCTTCCCGTAGTCTGCATCAACCAAACGTACGTTAACTTCCGATGAAGCTGACGTTGATCTACATGGATGGTGCGACAAAGTGGCAAGACCCTGAATGCAGGTACAAGGATGTGCATTACTGCCCGGGAAACTCTTCTACCTCTTCCTCCTCCGCTTTGCGCTTCACGTACTCTCTCAGGACATGCACCAATCTCGTCCTACCGTCTTGCCTCTCGAACACCTGTGCGTGGTCTACAGTAGGCCACCAGATCGTCTCTGTGCCGTGGCCTCTCCACTCGGAGTCCTTCCAGGTTCTGTCCTCGCCCTTGAGGTCAGCACCATTAAGGTACTTCCCGATGGTCTCGGTGTCAACTATCAGATCCCTGCCTCCGAGGCTGACAGTTACGTCACGGTCTTTGAGGTCCTCCTTCCACAGTATGTTTTGTGCCCAGAAGAACTGGCGCGCCAGGGTTTGTGCGACCATCATGTCGGTAGAAGCGAAGTAGTAGAGTTGGTGCTCGTTCGCGCCTTTCGGTCGACGCGCGGTGAAGTTGTACGCCACGTCGGGAAGATGCAACAGGAATGTAACAGGGTCGATGAAGACCATCGGGCCGATTTTGGCAGCGGTGATGGGGTCCCGAAGAAGGTGGGTAGAGATGACGGACCCGTAAGAGTGACTTGCGAGTACGACTTTGTCAAAAGCATGGCGTTCCAAGATCATGTTGATCTGGCGACAAATGTCGTCTTTGTCTGGAATCGCCCCAGTGATACGGAAGCTGACAGGCATGATCTCCACAGCAATGATGCCGACCTGACCATCTTGTGCCGCAAGCGGATCGTGCTTGTTTATCTCATTCAAGAACTCGACGTATGGATGCAGGCCGATGCCGATGCCGTGTACGAAGAGGATGGGTAGTCGCGTCTTCGAGGTGTGTGGTCGGTACCAGTAACTCAGATCAGGCGCAGATGAGATGTTGCGCGTAGTGAGATTGGCGAGCCGCGGTGGGAAGATGGCCAGCGAGGAGCGAAGGTGGGTGCGGAAGAGCATGAAGCCGTAGTAGCGCAGACGAGCGGCGGTAAGGGTATCGACTAGCATCACGATCTGTCGCCGTCAGTATGTATACATTCTCAAGAACTCTAAACATACCATATACCACAGAAACGGCCGATGCGCCATATTGACTTGGTCGATAGTCAGACGCAGGCTCTTTGCGCTGCCCATGCCAGGCGCCAGCTTCCTCCCAAGCATCGTCTCTATGCCATCCGCATACTCGTTGAGCTCGTCGTCCTCAGCATTGGTTTCTTCCGGGTGCGCCTGCCGCCTCTTCCTCCGCTCCTCATCGCTCTCCGTGCCGCGGTTCAGCAGTGCCCACGCGAAGAATTCGCGCACATTCTCGCGTCGTATCTCGCCCGGTCTCGCGCCCAGAAACCACCTGCTGACGTAGTACTCGGGGTGCGGGATCTTATCCCAGCATCGCCAGAAGAGCTCCTTCCTCTCCTCCTTCTCGAGGGGCGGCGGGTGTTGCGCCGAGGCTTGAAGCGCGCGCTTGCGGGGCAGGTAGACAAGCAGCCAGAAGGCGGTCTCGATGATGCTCCACGTGAGGAGGAAGCGACGGAAGGCCGTGTGCGGGGGCTCTGCGATGCTGAAAGAGACCCAGAAGATGCTGAAGGGCGTGATGGCGCGGAATCCCAGGATGCACGTCCTGATCAGCAGGTACTTGGGGAGCGTGTTTTCGATCATGGCGAATGTGCGACAGGATATAAGCTATCAGGAAGTCAACCGCACCCCATCGAAAGGCATGGCGGGGGTATTCTCGTTATCATGGTCGAAGTTGTTGACGGCTACACGGCAGGGTTGCTGCTTACAGCCCGCCGATGACGCAGCTGCCTGCTGCTGTGGCTTAGTCAGCAGTGCATCACACTTCTCGCAACCAACACCGTATTCGGCAGAGTGTACATTCATCCTATATTGTTTGCATCTATGCTAGACCCAGGGTATCTTCAAGGCGTTTTCAGCCGTCATCTGAACTTCCAAAAGCAACTAGTCACCTCCCGGCCTGTTCAAAGCGCCGCCAATCTAACGCCGAAACACCTGTGCAGTCCTTCTGCCATCTCAACCTTGGTTGTATCCTCCGTGTCCTCCACGTGGAGGGTATCCACCACGACCGCGACCAAACGAAACGTTGCCATAGCCGCCTTGGCCGAGATGTCCGCCAAAACCCCTGACTGAAGGGTGTCCTCCCGGGCCTGGCGGGGCGGAGCCATGTCCACCAGCAGAGTCGAAGTACTGTCGGAGACCGTCATAGTTCATGGTAGGACCAGGTGGACGAGTGGAACCACGACGTGACATGGGACGACCCCAGTTGTAGTACCCCCCACGAGGCGGATTCTTGGTCTTTGGTTTCTTGAGGGCCCGAGCAATAGCGTCCTTCTCGCGCCGAATGAGGGCCTTCTTGTTGGCTACACAGATGCAATGCTCGGTGACGTGTTCCTTGCCTGGCTCGATATTGCACTTGTTCTCTTCGCACTCATCACAATGAAGGTTTGTGGCTGTGCAATCTGACTTCATGTGGCCGACGGTGCCGCATTTGAAGCAGTACTTCTCAACGCCACCGAGGCTATCATCGAAGTTCGCCACACTATGGCGCTCCAGATCTCCTGCCACTTGCTGCATACTCTTGTGTGCGAACTTCTTGCACTTGTGTCCGCCCAAAACGATTTGGAATGCTGAGATCAACGTGCGAGCGGCGTCGTTTGCCGCCGTGTGGGAATCACTATGCTCGAAGGAGAGCTCTTCGACCATACGCCTGAGGCCAACCTGCTCGTTCCTCGGCATCATCCAGTAACCCTTGTCACGAACCAGCAGCTGGGTGTCGATGTAGCGCACCACGGTACCGATTGGCTCCATGTCGAAACCAATAGCCTTGGACTTGAGGTTGTTCAGATCGTGTCCGACGTCGTGGCCGAGAACAACGATGGGGAAGTTACCCTTGAGGTCGGGGAAGTAACCCTTGAGGCGGGGAACGTCACTGATGGGTTGGACAAAGAGGTCGGTCAGGATCTGACGCGCCTCGGCGAAGGTGACGAACCGGCCTTGACCGAAGCGGTTGCCTTCGACTCCCCGCGATGCTGGATTCTGGTTCGGGAGATGGGACGTCTCGATGGTGCGTAGGAGGTAGAAGCGGATTTCCTTCATCAGGTTCTCCCCGTGGTCACCGAAGTCTCCAGTGGCCACGATGGGCAATACATCTTGACGACCGAAGGTAGCGATGCCGACCTCGGTGGTCTCATCGGTATTATTCGACCAGTGCTCACAGTCAATACAGATGACGATGATGTGGTTGGCGAGGTCTTTGGCGATGTCGGGGATGTTCTTGACGCATCTACCTCCGACGCAGTGCTCCCACACTTCAAGGTCGCTGGCTTCCTTGAAGCGGGCCTCGAGCGCGATGATCCTAGGG